CCCCGCCGGGTGTTTGCTGGGTCAACGGTAAAAAACCTGTTTGCCAAGCTTTGTTCAAACAGGGCGTAAGTAAGAATTAGGTCCCCCCTGAGGCGAAGGTACTCCAGGGGAAAGAGATCACGCATCGTGAGACGCGTTTCGTAGTCCACGGATTTGAGGCCGGCAACCATTCTCTTAGCGGCTCGCTGGACACTCTCAATGAGGGTGCTGTCTTTCGTGCGTCTTCCTCCGTCGGTTGTTCACGCTCCCTCTAGAGCGCAATTCAAAACACTATTAGGCATTTATGCGGGTTCTCGCGCCTGTAAGCACACTGCCCCGCGCTGGAAGATTAAGGAGCAGTCTTAGACCATTTTCCAGTGAGAACGCGCATGTACACATTTGTACACCACAAACGCATACCCGCCGGATGGTGGAAGCACTTTACCGACATTCTGTTCATACTTAGCCGCCGACAAACTATGCCGGCGGGCATAACACGTGCCCGTTCCCCGTTGGAATTCTCGCAGCTTGGACTGGAATTCCGCGAAGGAACGATACTCATGACCGGAAAAGTACTCCATCATCTGTCTGGTTACGTTGCGTTCGTCCGACGAATAAATTCTGTGAACCTACAAGACATTATATCACAAAACCACCTTACTTGACACTATTTCACTGGATGAGGTACTTGGCTTTGGCATAATTGCCCGTACCGTCGTGGACACCGTACTGTTCGCGTTCTGCATGTCGTGGGCACCCGGACCGCAAGCGGAACAAGCGAGGAATGACCATTTGTAGCTAGGCACCAGTTTATACACCATTGTGACATTGGGCCTCTATGGCTTTGATACACTAGCAACCTGGTCCGGATCGCAGGACGGTGACTGTGTACATGGGTGACGAGTTTCTGCACAGTACTCTCAGCTAGCTGAGGGTTGAAGCTTCAACACTTCTACAAAATTGGTCACACTTTCTACGTCAACATGTTGCATTTCGTTGCGTGTTCGCTCACAGCCGTCCTAACCTACGTTCATAGGTTTATGTCCACTAAATTTCATGGTTCACTAAGACAGTCATTTCCTCTTGCTGAAATTTTTTGTGGGAAAAATTTCCAGCATCACTGCGACCCCGGGATGGCTAAACCGGGCTTAAAAGTTTGAACTGGTACTCTCGACTCTATTGCCCGGTTACCTCATCCCATCAGAGACACGTGATAACTTTCGAAATTTCAATTCCATTGTGCGAGTACTGAGCGGCCAGGCGCAGCGGAGCACGACAACATTGGTTGACTTTGTGCTAAGCGTCGGAGTATAAGTTTTAGCAAATTAAAACAACAGCTCCCAATTAAGATCCAAAAGACGAAACACTTTGCGTTAGGTACTGCAAGTTCGTGAACCATGAATACACGGCCTCAAGGAAACTGGTTTCATTGTTTAACATCACAGACCAGTTTACTATTGGGATCTTGCGGTCAAATCTCTTTGGCTTTTGTCAAGAATTGTTGTTGTGCATTCACGAGTTCATGGCGCAAACGGAAAAAAGGTGCAACAGTGCTTTTGAAGATCTTACCGCGGAGCACCATGCTTCCCAGCATGGGGACTCTCGTAAAAACATTTCTAATAGTGCTTTGAACTGGGTCCCAGATAGGGTTTTGGGAACCGTCGAGGAAGGTCATTTCATGCAACTACCTACCTAAACGAGAAAAATTTTACGTGTTGAAAGTGTGCGCTCTGAGCTTGGATATATCCCCGCCGTGTGTCTGCCGGGTCAACAGTGAAAAACCTGTTTGTCAAGCTTTGTTCAAACAGGGCGTAAGTAAAATTAGGTCTTCCACGGATTTGAGGCCGGCAACCATTCTCTTAGCGGCTCGCTGGACACTCTCAATGAGGGTGCTGTCTTTCGTGCGTCTTCCTCCGTCGGTTGTTCACGCTCCCTCTAGAGCGCAATTCAAAACACTATTAGGCATTTATGCGGGTTCTCGCGCCTGTAAGCACACTGCCCCGCGCTGGAAGATTAAGGAGCAGTCTTAGACCATTTTTTCATTTGTGGCCTTCAGGTAAACGACAGTGGCTGAACGACAAAAACAAAACCGACCCAGAAAATTTAGGCGAAGCCCTCGAGCATTTGTATAAACCCGTAAATCCGTGAATCTTTGATTGATACACAGGTTCAAAGCTTTCTAACGTGCTACCCAATTCGAGTTTGTTCTCGTCTTTCAAGGGCCCCATTTAACGAAAGGAACAAGTAAAAGATTTGTAGCACCCCAATTCAGGTTCTCAGGGGAGGGATTAATATAAAAAGGCATCCAACTGTTTTGGGCTACCTGTAATGAGAAAAATTGCTGCCTAATAAAAGAATGCACTGGGCTTTAAAATGCTCATGCCATGTCCTGTGATATGGTGATTGAGTCAGCAGCGGAGATTTTTTAACAAAGCCTCCAAACTGGAATATATGTGGGTGTTATATCCTCTCGCAGGAGACGACATTCGAGGGGAAAACTTCAAATACCCTGAGAAACGCTTCATCCCCAACAAATATGAAGCTGGCAGCAATCTTCGTAGCGCTTTGCTGTGCACGCGTAGTGATAGTTAAGTCCTTTTGGACAGCCTGGTTGGCATATTCAAGAAGCAGTCCGACGTGGGGTGTATAGACCACCTATTCGTAGAATGGTCAGCCGATTTTTCTGAGGTCAGAAGGACCTTTTTATGATAGCAATATGCCTAAATGTTTTGGTATCTACACCTGCTAATCCATCCTCACCACGCAGGATAAAGTCGTCCTCTGAGCCTCCTGCGAAGGACATATGGACACATTCTGTCGTTAGGAGGATGGCGCTAGTCTGTCGAATCCTGATTTGCAGCGCACAAATCCATTTAGAGGGCAATCAGGATTTCGAGTCGTTCGGAACTAGTAGACGTTTACTACTGACGTTGAAGTACATAAAAAAGAGGACTCGTTCCAAGACGGAGTTCTGAATGGCCTTATTGGAGATCGTCACAGAAGAACAGTATTTTGTCCCAACTTTCAACCAAAATGTTCAAACCTGTAAGAATTTCTCATTCGGTCGCGCAAAACTCGAGGCCGTAGCATAGCAAAAATTTTGTACTTAATCAAACGCTACCGAGAAGTCAAAAATATGGCATCCGTTATGAATATTTTGCTTTGTGCATCGTCAAGCTCCATACGAATACCAGCATGTTCGTCAAGCAAGAAAGCTTTGATAAGAATCCGAATTCCTCCTGAGGTTTGAGCTTGTTACCAGTGATACGACGGCAAATGGCCCGCTTTAGGATGCTGTCAACCACCCTGCACGATATGCCCGTAGCGGCAGGGCGATAAGCGGTCACGTTTTATAGATTAGTGTAACAGTCGCTTCCCTCCAGTCATGGAGCGGGTTGCTTTCGTCGCCCACCAACGAAACACCTTAGATGAGTCGCATTTCCCTCACATAGTTGGAGTTTGGCCTGTGCAAGGGTTCACCAACATCATCGGTAAAGATCGAGTTGGCTGGCGCTTGCTTGTTGTCGGACCTCGCCGACTTTAGCAATGATGATGTATCTGGGAAATGGTACACTCCTGTGTAGTGCTCTCTATAGGCTTCTAATACGATTACTGTATTACTCGTGAGTTTTCTGTTTCTGTCCCTCAGGGAGGAGTTAGTTGGGTTGATTTTCGGAGCTTTCCCTCATTTGCTTTTCCGGACCACGTCTATAATCGTGGCCTGTCTTCGAATGCACCACCGGCGGACCTCTGATTTACGGTGGCTCCACGTTTGACGAAATGCCGGTTACGTTTTGGAATAATGAGGCCCTCGTTTTCAGAAGAAACTGGCTTCTTTTGCGTAGTATTTGATCCGTTCATCTGCGCTACGGTTTCTCCATGATGAATACCGCGAGCCTCGTGAATTTTTCAATCAACTGTCCCGTGCGTCATCTCCACTGGGTCTAATCCAAATTTATTCCAATCAACGAAGTTGATCACTCCTGAGAAGTCTACAAAATAGAAGTTTCTAACGCTTGAACGCTCAAGATTCTGGCCCAGTAGCAAGTAAAGTAAAATGACAGCACCTATAGGTCATTATGTCCCTTTTGAGCCTTTGTTAACGTCCGACTGACGAATTTTCTTCCGTTAGTTTTGATCAAATCAAGTAAGAATGGTAGTTCGTCTGAGCAGTACCTGGTGGGTGCTACGACATGCTGAGCCTAAGCGCATTGTTGAACGAATTTTGTCGGTCACAATGCAGAATATCCACCAGCCTCCATATGCTTAAATTCCATCCATGGAGCTCTCGAAGAGTTAAACCTATCTATCGTCTGAGGTTGCTCCAGATGGCAGCTTGAGCAGAATTGATAAATGGGTTATCTTTCGGTGGAATTGAGGGGCAAATAACGGCCATCTCAAAAAGCGGGGAATCAATCAAACGCGGCGGGATGTGAACTCGCAGTGCATCAAAAAGATTAGTAGAAGTGTTGTCAGATATTTCAATCGAGATAAACAGGGTTGCATGCAAGTGTATGGCAACCCAACCTGCCCCAATGAGGTTTGAGTCAATCCGAAAAATAGAGCAACAATGGACCCAGATCCCCCTCAAAGACTTCAGTTAGGCAGGTATCTGTATCTGCAATTATGGAAGGTGGCGAAAGGTTAGCTGACTTTTGAGTATCGTGAAGTTTTTCCACAGACACTTCAACGCTATTTCCGCCGTGGCCCAAATTAGACAGTCCTGATTCAACAGCTTCGAATGTGCCCCTACAGTGTACTTGTTTACCTCTGGCATTAGCATTTCCAGTGGCCATTGTTTGTTTCTGGGAGGTTCTCCCTCGGAGCCTGGTATGCGTCTATATTTTGCTTCTGGATGGTGCAGGTGTCTCTTTGTGGTAAAAAAATTTCAACTGCTCCCGCGCCTGCATTCACTGTCTTCGGCAGCCTGTCGTCCACCTTCAAACCGTGAAGCTAAGCACATTAGGCTGTCATACATACAGGCACCGAGCTTGGCAGCATCGAGGCTGAAAATCGCCTCGTTTTTCCAGGCTCGGTCCCTCAAAGTCCCATGCTTTCAAGACCGAAAATAACAACAACAGAATTTAAGTAAAGTTTTTCCTCACTTTCTCATAGATTCGCGGGCACACTTGACCCAGGACCGCGGACACTACCCAAAAGAAAGTGACATGAGTATGAGTTCTGCGAAGCCTGCGTGCAAAGTTTTAAGCTCAAACATTAGGCATCCAGCTGGCTTTGTTGTTCTTGTTATTGTTGATGGACCAGGGCTGCTGTAAGGAATATTTGGACAAGCACATATGGGTAAGCATAACTGCACCCGACTATAGTTTTCAGATGAAGCGTAGTTCAAAGCTTCAACTTCACATTTCCGCTTTCTTTACCGTTGCCCTTAGCGCCCTCAGGTTCGATGAGATAGTGGGATAACAAGCCAATAAGCACTTACATAAACCATCAGAGAGGTGGGTGAAATGTTGATAAAAATAACTTGGGAGAACTTTCCCATTGTTCTGATCGATTGACAGAGAACTGTCCGGTCTGTGAGCAGCCTGCGGAACCATTGTGAGTATAGTAAGACTTTTTACGTGGAAATATTGCTCCATATATGCTTAAGCAGAAGTCAGCCAGATCT